TGAGCTGGGGATGCTTGCTCCTGCAATGAGAGAGAGAGAGAGAGAGAGAGAGAGAGAGATGGGCTGGTGCCCACCAGTCACACCCCTCTACCTTCACTTCCAGGCACAGTAGGGGACTCATGGCTTTTGACCTGAATTTGCATCAACAGTCTGGGAGCTGTAAGCCAGGGGTCTTGTCCTTCTTGCAGCTTTCCCAGTATTTATTTATTTATTTATTTATTTAAGCAAGTATTTTCCCAGTATTTGAAGCCACTCCCTTCCGGGCTTCCCAGAGACTTCTAACTAAGGGCTGGCTGAGAGTTGGTGAGGTAATGGGGCTGCATAGCCGAAGGGAACAGAGCTAACTACGCCACTTCTTGGCGTTCCTGATTGGCCACATGGGTAAGAAAGGATCCCACCCTTGTGCTGGGAGGGCACTGGTAGCCTCCAACATCACCTTCTGTCTCTGGGGCACCCAGGCTGGTGAGGTGAGTCTCCGCTCACCTCGGCTGGCTGACTTTCCTGGGACTTCTTTTCCACATCGTAGCATCTTTTCTGTCCACATGTGGAGATACTGTTTCTTCTCTCACAGGGCTGGCTGCAGGCGAGTGCTGAGACAAAGGGCTCCAGAGCCAGAGACTTGCGGATGCAGATAGAAACCAAGCAGGAAAACAGAATTCAAGAGGGCCTGCACCTTTTTTTTTTTTTTTTGAGCAAGAGGCTTTGTAACTGAGGCCAGAAAGGGGGGAGAACTGGTGATCTTGGCTGGGTCTAACGCGAATCCAGACCCTTCTCGAGGCTTTGGTGTCACTGCAAGGAAATCTATTATTTTCCATAAACTGTCTTAAGCGTCTCCCGGCTGCATTTTTGGCTGTGTTAAGGATCAAGCCATCAAGAACAGCTGTGAGCAGCAGCAATGGGCTTTGGCAGCGAAGTAGGAGCAAAAAACCCAAGTAGGACATTTCAGTTGACAGTAATGGCATTTTCCCTTCCTTGTCCAAACGATAAAAGATTCATGCTCCTAACTGCGACACTATAGCTGCCCCCATCACTTTATTCTGGGAGAGGAGGTTAGAGAAAACAGGCCTAGAGAGAGGGAGAGAAAGAGAGAGAGAGAAAGAGATGGATAGTATTTCGTCACTAGCTAACAGAAACTGATTAGTGCAGAAGACCCCCGTCCATAGCAATACTTTTAAATCAGGACTGCTGTGTCTGGGCAAACAGCTTTTGTGGATTAGCTGGACTGGAGCCTGCCAGCATCTGTTGCAAGTTTAAGGGATGAAATACACAACTACAGAGAAAACAAACCGAAAAGAGTAATAAAGTCACACATTTCAATATCCAGCAACCATTAAAGGATTTAAATATTTGCTTGCTATTAAAGGCTTGCATTAGGCTCTTCCAACACCAGCTCTGGAAGACTGAAATATCAATTACGGATCAATTTTCCCCCTAAGTAAACACTAATGCAGGATAAACAGTATTAGAAGATGCAATCGTAACATTGCTGACTTCAGGATGGACTTCCTGCTGGTAACAGCAAGTTTAAGCCTGGTGATTAATTAACCTGAGAAGATAGCACTTAAGGAAGATTTAAGGCAGGCATGTCTGAAATATGAGCGTGAGCCAGCACATGTATGGAGGACAGGCGGAGAGGTCTTGGCCCAGGGTGTGGGTTGCTTTGCTCCTCGGTAGTGGTCCCCACTCCCGACTCCCCAGCCCAATTCTTTAAAAAATTAGGAGGAAGCAAAGGCAGGAGTGAGGGCTGTGTGTGTGTGTGTGTGCGCGCGCGCGCACACGCTCGCCCGCCAGAGAAAAGGCAGTATTCTTGAAATTAATTCTATCTGCATTTAAATAACCAAGACCTGTAGTTCCTATACTGGCCACCAGGGAATTTACATTAGAGTCTCTTGGGAATGAAAAGCAAAAACAAAACTCCTAAACAAACAAACGAACAAACAAACCATCATCCTTAAACCAAGGCATACAGTTTCCTAGTGTACAAGAGTCTGGGTGCTGATGTAAGACTCGAAAGCATCCTTCCTAACCAAGTAAAGTGATGTGGGGACTCCATCACCCTACAGTTCCTATCAGAGGTATGCTTTCGAATTTCTATATGAGGACAAATAGGGCAGAGTATACTTTGAATTTGTCTAACCTCTGGAACTTTACTCTAAAGGGCCCTTGGGATACATGTCAACATTACCTTCCAGCCATTACCAAAAAGGTCATCCTCCCCCAAAGGAAGAACACATACCAGTGATAGCAGGTCTCAAAGACAGCTGGACCAAGGATGCTAAACTTGGAGTGCACAGGCACACATCTTCAAGGCCTCACAAGGAGCTACCTAGTTGGGGATGTACCTGCAAAGTCAAAGCTTGAAACAGGGACTAAAACGACAAAGTTGAGCCAGACACTTGACTGCTGGCCCTTTAAGCCCTGCTACTTTCTGAGAACTCACTACGTGTCCTGATAAGAGTGGCTGTGAGCCTGTCTGGATATTATCGAAGAACCTCTTCTCCCATAAGCTGTGCGGTAGGGTCAGGTCATTTCAGTTTCGTCTTGTAGTTTTTTTTTTTTTTTCCGGAACTATCTGTGAAAATATGGAAGTCACTGAAGAAATCTGGTTGCCAGTTCTTTATGATTAAATATTTGTGGCATCTTGGCAAACAGGTGGATTAGAAATCTGAGGCCACATTTTATAACTCAGCAGAAATGTCTCACTTAAGGAGGATCTTTCTACTTGTCATGTGGCGACCGTATGGTTGCTTTAAGGGTCTGGATGACAGACTCAGAGGAACCGCTCTCTATAGAGCCAGTCCATTGGTATAAGAGTTACATTTCAACTAGACAGGGGACAGTGAAAGATTGCACCAGTTAACACTCAGATATCACCTTGGGGTTCCAGTTGATGTATTTGGACAACACAACCAGGCCGAACATTTGTGAGAACCCCCTAGAGGAAGCAAGGACTGTATTTTTGTGCTATACTAAGAGGTACACAGGAAATGTAGCAACTGTGTACTAACTTAGCCGCTTGGAGCATCTTCTCATTTGCATGCCTCACTGTGCTTCAAGAGCCAAGCTACCATCTTGTATTTGCCTCAGTTCACTGACCAGCAGGGTCCCTGCTCTGTGTGTTGAGGTTGAATCTGGAGCCTCGTGTTATAGGCAAGGAGATAGGTGAGAACATCACACATTCAGCCTGCCATGTGGCTTAAAATAGAAGTACACTGATGAGCCATGATGAGAAAGTCCTTAAATATTCTATGCAAAAATTCACAAAGGCATCAGGAGTCCACACAGATAGTTTTCTCCGAGTAGCCAGTTCTTATAGTCATAGACAACCTTGTCTTCTAAATCAACATTATAATAGAATGAACCTGTAAGGAGTGCTTACTTCCTGTCTTCAACTTTACAGCCTAAGCACCAACTTCTTATCTTTTTGGTGTACTGAAGATGGAACTCTAGACCTCATGCTTGCTAAACACAGGCTTTGTCATTGAGCTATCCCTCCAGCCCAGGACTGTGTATCTATCTATTCTCTGTCCCCTAATGATCTCTGAGGTTATAACACATCCTACCTTACCCAACAAAAGACAAAGATCAGGTGTCTTGGGTAATATGCCCGAGGCTTCAGAGCTAGTAAAAGTGGGGCAGTGATTTAAAACCAAGTTTGGTCTACTCTTGCTCTTGAGTGCTATGCTAAATTGCCTTTGTCCTGTAGAGATATGCTAGATCATTTTCCCTGTTGATCTTGGCCTTTTGGCAAAAGCTGGGAGAAGCTAATGGACTCCCAAAGTTCTGCCTAGACTATGAGGACGGGCACAGAATGGATGTCATGCATGTCCATGTGCTGCCTGGGTCCACTGCCCTGTGCACCCTTTCCTTCTCTAATGTCCTTGGAAACCTGGCCAAGCTCCTGGCTCTTCCACTGAGTGGACTTGCCAGCTTCCACTCACTCCCCTTCCCCAAGAAATCCCTACTGGTCTGTATTATTGCACAGGGTGTGGCAATTACAAATGAGGTCACTTCAAACGAGATCACTTCACAGAGGTAACTGGTACCTTAGTCAGTCTCTTGTGACCACTTACACATGTCGGTGTCCCCCTCAGTCCCAGTGTCGATGTGCCAGACACTCAGTGAGCACATAACAGATTCTGTTGGAGATGTTATGCTCAAGAGACAGACCAGACACCAGACCACGATGTAAAAACTCCAAATGAGATGTCCAGCCTTGACTTTTCTGGAGCTTACCTTGTCTCTCCCTGCCAAACCTTCCTGGTTACCTGACAGACAGAGGGGGAACTCAGCAAGAGCTGGGTAAATGGTGAGAAAGGGCACTTTGGGGTGGCCAGATTTGGCTCATGGACTATGAGTGTGGTCATTGCTAATTTCGCCTGCAAGGCAAGGATGATGATACCATGCTGCTGAATCTCAAAGTCCACCTGGGCCTGAAGTCTCCAAAACCTAAATGGTAAGCGAGAAGAATCCGCAGGCAGCCGAACCAGCAGCTCACCTCTTCATTTTGTGACAGGAGAGAATTTTAAAAGGAAGAAGGCAGTATGAATTGTTAAGACACAGAATCCCAAAGAAAAAGACAAGTGGAGCAGGCAACACAGGGAACTTGGTGGGTGGTGGGTGAAGGTGGGGTTGGGTGGTGGTGGACACAGCCACAGGAGGCGCCATCCCCGGCAACTGTGCTCCGCACACCTGCACAAATCCTCGCGCCCACTGGAGTTGACTCTGTTCAGATGAACACCAGACTCTCCTGTCTACTGTGAGGGTAGAAGAGGAAGAGGACAGGACAAGGATGAACAGACGAGAGAGGGGGAGGGGGAGGGGGAGAGAGAGAGAGAGAGAGAGAGAGAGAGAGAGAGAGAGAGAGAGAGTCCGAGAGAGAGAGAGACCAGCTCGCAGCCACTCTCAGCCAGTGCTCTGGGCCCCCACACAAGGTCCTAGGAGAGGAAGCTGGGACCAGAGGCCGGGTGTTTTAAGAATCCAGAAAGAGATTTAAAGGATCACTTGTAACATTAATTTTTTTTATTAAGAAGACAGATATTTTATAGTACTTCTTTTTTTTCCTTTTTTTTCTTTTTGTAAAAATGGTATACATGAACCGATACAAAATGCGAATGAATGTGCACACACGGGTGTGGAGTTTCTTACACTGTAACATGGTCCTTGTACCTTAGAGACAGAGCTGGCCTAGAGGGAAAACAAGACGTCATCGTGACTAAAGAACAAGCTTATTTGGCATCAATTATACATCCTTCATTATTTTATACTCCTTTAAAAAAACACAAAAAAAACCCAAGTTTGTTCTTTCTTCACTCTAAAAAAAGTGATCAACCTGTACAAAGTAATACTCAACAATACATTTCAAACAGTGCACTGTATACTTAAGAAAAATACATAAACCAATATACAACTAAAGTCTGCAATTTCCTGTTTTTGCTTTGTTTTATTATTATTATTATTATTTATTATTATTATTTTTCCAATGTGTGGGGCCTACACTTTGCAATCTACCTGAGACGGAAAAACACCAATCGAAACACAGGAACCTGAGACATGTCAACATTGTAAGCCATAAAGTTACATCAGAACACTGCACTACTGTATACACTTGTCAAAACAGAAAGATGGGCGGTCCCGAAAATGAGATGCCAATTCTGTGAACAATGGTAGTTTTTTTTTGTGTGTGTTTGTTCTTTTATTGTTTTTTTTAAATATATTTTTTATATTTTTTTTTTCTAAAAAGGACAGCTGAAAAACCCTTTCAACGACATGCTAACTGGTTGTCACCCTTTGATATGGTCACTATGGTCAGGATGGGTGCTAAGGGCTCGGAATAGATGCACATTATAAAACTCTTGAAAAAGGGTGCTCCTTGTGGCTTTTTGTCTTGGTTAAGTGCCTAGGGGCAGGAGAGGGGTTAACAAAACACTGCTCCGTAATGGATTCTCCTTTAACATACCAGTCCGTTCCCAAAAGGCCCCCATATTGCAGTGGTTCTATCGGAAGTTAAAATAAAGACAAGAAAAAGAAAATACGCTTTCAAATAACAGAGTCGACACTTTTTTTCCCCTTAAATAAATCAGCGTAAGTTTTCCACATAATGTAACAATAGTAAAAATGCACCTTGCAAAATCCAAAAGGACTGACTGAAAATGTTATATAATATATATTTATATATTTATATATATATAGATAGATCTATCTTTTCTGATGCCGTCTTTCCAGAGGGACTGTTTTGGAGTCTGGAGCTTACCGACACGTGTGGTAAGAGTTTAGGTTCTGTCCTTCTTCAGAACTACTGCTAGATGCCCTCGGCACTTCTGCAACCCCTTGCTTAGCTTTAGAGAAAGCAAATGGTTCCTCCACTCCTCTCCCTTCCCCCAGGCTCCGGTGTAAGATATGTTCACGGAAACTTATTTTAGTAGCTATGCGCTATGGCTGCCATCATGCGAGATGAGGAATTTTTGGCAGATGTTTCTTAAGGCTGAGGAAAGAGGCCAGGGCTAGTGCACGGAAGATAGAAACACTCACATTTGGAGTTTTGATTAAGTAACTGAAAAAGCCCCACATGCTGCTTTTCCACCTCAGCTCTGACCTTTCGAGAACAATACCGGCCCTTCTTTTGTACCTCCTGCCTTTGTCGAGCCAAATCTGAAGGAATGGGAGCAGAGCAGGGATTGGAGCTGGAAATCCCAGCAGGACAAGTGTCCCAGCAGGACGGTGTCTGTAATATACAGTACACACAGGACACATCCCACTGCCATCCTTAATAAGCACAAAGGGGGAAAAACAAAAACAAAACAAAACCAAAACCTAAACAAAACCTGAAAACCTGTCCCCTTCAGTCACTCACACAGCACACGGACTTGCTCTATCCTGCACGGAGTGAGCAGTAAGGCCAATTGGGAAAGGTGGATGGAATTGTTCAGAGTAGAAATAACCAGAGCAGAACTGTTGTACCCCCTCCCTGCTTCCCCTCCTGTGGCATCTCAAATTTGTCCACTTACATAAAACGGACAGACCTAACCTGTCAGGTCTGTTTAGGGCAACGAGGAAGGAGGAGACCTTTCCACTCCAAAAACTTTCTGCACAGCGTGGGGTAATCTATACTGAGCCGCCTACAGATAAAGAATTAACGACAGATTCAATCTCATTGCGACACACCTCACTTGCAGATAACCCTGTACAGTAATGAAGATCCACAGCAGACGACAGCTTCTGGGTCACAGTCTACGTTTCTAGTCTTCGCTGCTCTAAGTATTTAAGACATGGGCAGCAGCAAAGAGTTTTCATTGTTTTCTTTTTTTTTCTTTTTTTCTTTTTTTTTTTCTTCACCCAAATCTTTACGACAACAGAGAAGGATGCATCATGGAGACACTAAATTCTGAACTATGAAATCTAAACTGTGCTGGTTTTCCTTTTATGAAACTGAATTTGGAACAGAAAGCAGTCACTGTTAACACAAATAAAAGAAACTGACAACGGGGGAAAGTCTTAGGAATCCCAGCAGGTCAATTCCAAAATATGGGAGGTTTGGGAGGGGGAAAACAAATTTGATTTTGGGAAAAATAAATGCATAAAAAGGGCAAAAGGGAGGAAACACAACAAGCGAACGAAAACAAGGCACAGAATTTTCTGCAATCTACCGAACCAAATCCAAGTACCCAAGTTTGACTTGGTAGGAAGAAATAGAAACGAAAAAAAAAAAACAAAACAAAAACAAAAAACAAAACAAAAAAAACCAAAACCCAAACCAATTAAAACCAGATTAAAAAGAGGTGTCAAACAGCAGATCGTACTTTCAAAGAACATTCTTTGTTTTTGTTTGTACATTGCAAACCCCAAGCCTTCCCAGTCTCGCATCTCTCCACCCACTCATAAAAAAAACACACGAGCTTCTCGCAAGTTCCAGTATCACTGTCTCTTTATCATCTAAACAGGCCAGTTGGACACCTCATTGGAACAAAAAGGCTCATCTAGATGAAGTACTCTTTCTTTTCTTCCGAGTTGTTCTGTCCTCCTTCTGCATTGATTATAGCTGTGTCTGCGTCTGCTGCGTCATCGGCTCCTTTGGCTTCATGAGTGAAGTATGTACCTGAAAGATGAAGGGGTAAAGCACTGTGACTCTCTGGTGGCCTCTGTGTGAAGTGGTACAGAGATGGCAAGTTGCTTTATGGCCATCATCAGCCGAAGTGGTGTGCAGGCAGCAGAGGGGGGAAAAAAACAATAGGAAGAAGAGAGCAGGGTGGGTGAGACAGATGGGAATCCCGGGCTCCAAAGGTAACCACTCCAACTGAGCCGCTGCGATGTAATTCAGCAAACGAGACATTAGAGCAGTGATTATGACCAGAGAAGACGACGTGAGTGGGGCTAAAATGCAGGAAGCTGGCGAGCTGCTGCCTACCGCGTTAACAGTAAACACCAAAGACCGATGACAAGAGATGTTCGCACATGGTTAAAGACCAAAGCAAGGAAGAGCAATTAGCCAATAAATGAATTAGGGCCCCGAAGATGCTTCTATTGCCATCTTGAACCCGTTACTCCAAACATAGTCTCCTGGCTTCATGAATTGCTACTGGCTACCCACAAGGGAGGCTGTGCTTGAACTTTTGTAAGGGTTGTTTCCCCTGTGCCATCTATTTCAGAGAGGGGCACCAGATGGAGGGCACAGTTTGACATTTTAAGGGCTGCAGTGGAGGGTTGGGCTCTGTCTTCATGAACGAGAGAGTCTTTCTCACCACGTGACTGGAGCCTGGACCCAGATTCATGGATTTGCTAATTGTCACAGCTACTTTATAATGACAATAGACAGAACATTAACCAAGTTGATGACATTTCTATCACCAAATCCCAGGCATTTACAAGGAGAGAGGCAAGACTTCACTTTGGAGTAGCAGGCAGGTAGAACTCAAATTGCCTGGTGTAATCTGATAACCCTCTTACCATTATGTTCTGACTCTAAAGATTCTTATACTTGAAAAAAGCCTGAGACATTTTGCCCAATTCTCAGATCTTAAAGAGATAAACTGAGCAACAAGCAGGTGGCCAAGTGCTTCCTTCCTGTGCTCTCTCTTTTGCAGGAGAGCTTGCACGTGTATCCCCTTCCCGTGATCCTCCAATGATGCTGTGTACACTCTGCCCCGCTCTCTGGCTTTACCAAGCTAAGCACTGAAAGGCAGAGGTTCTGGCCCACACAGCTCCAGGGCTCCCCAGCTGTTCTGTGCTCCAGACAGACACTTCTGATCCTAAAGGCTTTTGTTAAGCACTCTGGACCTCCACTGCTGGGCTCCAGGGACTTTCTCCAAACCCAAGTAACAATCAAGCGGTATGCAAGCATCTACCCCCGCCCCCTCCGCCCCAAAGCTCAGTGCACAGTGCTTGAGAAAAACAACTGAGAAAGACAAGGGCCTACAAAGAAAAGGAAGACTAAATTACCGGGAGGGGAGAAGAGGCCCAGAGCAGCATGAGGCAGAGAGGAAGAGCATTGGCAAAGATGATTGCCCATCCAGTCTGCACAGTTGGTAAGTGTGATGATTAATGGCAATTTAAATCAATTGCCCCGATAATTTAAAAAATACATATTTATGTGGCTTTTAAGGCAAAGGATTAAAAAAAAAAACCAACAAAACCCGGGCATATCACATCAAGAAGGAAATATTCTGGCTCTGGGGACCAGCTTACTCAGACTTCAGGGGCAGCAAACCGGTCCTCCTGTCTCCTGGGAAGCGAGCAGGCTGTGGCTATGTTTGCCATGCATACAGTCTTCTAGGGCTCAGGCCCCTTGTCACAGCAGCCCCTACCTTACGAGTTTAGCTCTATTCCCAAACGTGGACTGGAGAAGCACAGACTTAGACAGCTTTGTATTTATAGAAAATCCTAATCCTCCCACACAGTCCTCAGCAGCAGTTGCTACGGTTTCTCCACCTCCCAAGCCCCCTTCTCCCCGTTCTAGGAACCACATAGGCTGTGCCATCCTTTACACCAAGCTGCCTACTAATGACAACAGTGTAGCCCCCCAGTGCCAGGGCTGTGGTGACATGTTGCTCCAGCTTGCCAGAGCACCTTGCTTACCTTTATGTCTGGCAAAATAGCGGCCCAGAATGATGAGCAAGCATAGCATGGCAAACACCACCACGGCTACGACGCCGCCAATCACCGCGTGGTCCACTGCCCCAATGGTCCCCTCTTCACCTGCTCGAGAATCTGTTGAAATCAGAAGAGGAACAGGGATGTAGAACAGACAACTAGACACCAAGAGCCCCAGGGACACTGCCTCCAGGGTCAGGAGGTCACCTTCTTTTTTAATGGAGGAGTCAGAGAGAACAAAGCAGATGGATCAAGTTACATGGAGTGAACAGACTGACCTGTCCAGTACTGAATTGATCTGTTCTCCCCACAAGGCAATTTCATTAGCGGCAGCACAGGAGTGCTACTGCGTGGGATAGAAACTTAAGGGGCTGTAGGGGGGAGGGATTCTGGCTGTTCACACCTATTCTTAGTGCCCACTGTACACGTCCTGGAGCTTATGGCTGCTAATGATTAAGGACGGTGACCTAACTATGGACACCACAGAGGGTACCTTCAGTCCATCACAGGAACTAGGGGCAGGGGGGAGGACAGAAGCCCCACAGCTTACTTCCTTAGAAGAACAAGCATAGGGAAGCGAGGCTATGGAGATACAACGGCAGGCTGGTGAAGACTAAAGGAATACAATATGCTGGCTACATTTACAACGTGTGAGGAGGGAAGAAAGCCTCGATTTAAGATCTAAAAACCTAATTCAAAAAAAAAAAGAAAAAGAAAGAAAGAAAAAAGAAAAGAAAACAAAAAGAAAGAAAAAAATATGGTGGGAAAGAATACTTGTCCATTACCACAGACAGTTCTGATGCTGTTTAACCCCTCAAAACGTAGTTTTCTCTTATAAGCCTCACTCCCTCGGGGAGTCCCCTTTGACTTTTTGGCTGGGGAACAACTTCAGAATGAACCCAGAATGAGCTATGGCGATGCAGAATGGATAGTTACATGGCGGGGTAAACAATTTTAATTTAGGAATGTGGCTACATCACCCTTTGCTGAAATCCTAATGGCACCTGAGATTTATAACACAGTAAAAACAATTATTCTCCTGTAGATTAATACATTAACATTTTGGAGTGGAAGCTAAACCATTGTCTTTTTTTTTATTTTTTTTATTGAGTCAAGTACGACACCTCCATTAAAATGATTTACTGGCTGTACCTTACAATTTAAGCACAGCAGCAACAGAAACGGTAAAAATCTTTTAACTTTACATGATTTGTGAAGTCATATGTGAAGGATTTACCATTTAAATCTTTCAGTACATGAAGCACATGGCCTATAAATCTGCCCCCCTTGTAGTTGCTGGATGCCTAAGAGAAATGCGTTTCACCGGGAAGACCGAGAGTGCAAATTCAAGTCAATTTCTAAGAAAGATTTATCTCTGTCTCTCTCCAAAGAACAGAGCAAATCTCTGAAGCCTCCACCTCTAATAATATTTGAAGTTTATCGATCAAGTGTACAGATCCGTGACAGCTAAAGGTAATGGTACTCTTCTGAGCCGAAACCTGATACAACGCTTTCAGCGGGAGGGCAGGTCTTACGCTTTCTCTCAATATTTCCAATTCTGCTTGGAGACTAAACACGGAAGGATGTGGGGAAATAACTCGTGACTGTGGCTTCCATGGAAAGTGCTTTAATTAAAAGAGCTTCAATTAAAACGTGGAGTATTTAAAGTGTTCCATGGAGTTAGCTTTGGAAGGACTACAGAATAACTCAAACCTCAAACCCCAACAGAAATGCCAAGTCAGAGGCAGCAGCAGGTCGCCCGGACAACAGGATGATGGCAGTTTAATTGGAGGATAGAGATGGGTTGGAGGCAGAAAGCTGCAGCCAATTAGTCTCCTCCGTGATGTGCAAGCCTCTTCAGCAACGTGACTAATAAGCTCCGCTTGAGATGTGGTGGTGAGGATATCTCCTTCCTGCCGCAGCCCCAGTGCTGCTGACTGCAGACAGCGCAGACTCTACTGTCCTCAAAGTCCTCTTCATGGGGCAGGTGGTCTTGGAAATGTTTTTGCCTTTTAAGAAACAGTCTGTTGATGGGAAGTACTGTGTGCTGGGTGTGCATTAATTCCTGTTCTTGTTCAGGGACAAAACATCGGCCCCAAATAACATCAGGGAGGGCTTGCTTTAGTTCTCATTTTGAAGACATCATGGCATTGAAGGAAGGTGGTAGGACCAAGTGGGGTGGCTGGTCACATGGCATCCCTAGTCAGGAAGCAGGAAGAGGCTTGCTTTTTTTTTTCTATTGGTCTGGAGTCTTGGAACTGTGCCACCCACACTTAGGACTGGGCCTCGAGACATCATCACAGACACATCCATGAGTGTGTTTCCATGGTGATCCTAGAGCCAGTCAAGTGATGAAGAGAGGCATCCCAGGGTGGTACTGGATCCTGGTGCCTCCTGGAAGATCACTCTCCACATCGCAGAGACATGGCCAACTGCAAAAACACTTAAATGTTCTCACTGGGACCAAGTGACCATTGTCAGCTATGTTTCCCTTGTGGGAATGAAATCAAGTGATCTTCAGTTGCTTCAAACTGACTGAAGTCTGACTTTATTTCAGCAAGCTCTGTGTGTCTTAGACTTGGGACAAAGTGACGGGGAAGAGAGAAAACCGCTACGTGAGGCAAGGACGAGGGAGGAGCCACCATGAGAGGACCGAGAGTACATGGATGTTTCTAGAAGCTGTTTAAGGCAGACCACTGGAGGCAGGCAATTCCTGTCCACTATTAAAAGACCAATTCTTCCATCTCCAGAGACATGTGGTGGTATTTGGTGGTATGTTTGAGCTTTGGGGAGGGGTAGGTGAGTGAAGGGGAGGAATACAGAAGGACTGTAAATCTTCTCAAAACAAGGGTAAAAACTGTTATCTGTGGGATTCCTTACCTGAGCCCAACTACTTATTTGACTTTTGCTTTCCAAATGTGCTCAGTCTTGCTATGTCCCCTTGTACATAGTCCACACTAAATACCTGTCTGAGTTATCTTCCGCACCCTCAAGGACATACAAACACGTTTCAGATACTTATTTATAAGCGTAATCTCTCTATATTCACTTTGATCAGAAAGTTTACTACCGCTAGTTAATCATCAAGACACTTTTCCTACCTTCAATTACAGCAGATGGACACGGAGGTAACTGCTGTTTAATTTACAGGGAACACTGCTGGTGAGGAGCTCCTCGCCGCCTCTTCCCACCTCTCCTCCACCCCACTCCCACCCCTGGCTGTAGTAATAGAGCCGTGACTGTTCCTAAGTGCCTGTCATGGTCGGGCTTCCCCGTGGAGAGCAGTTGTTTCTCATTGTCTCTTCTGTTTCCTCTTGGGGGGATGGCAGGTGATTCCAACGGTGCTGTGGGTCGGCTCAAAGTGGTAGGGGTGACGCTGGTCACCTGCTATGGGGTGAGCACCACCCACACCTGCAGCTGGCACCTTGCTGGTTACAGAGAGCAGCAGCATGGGATGCCACAGGGATGTACTTGGCCGACAGGCGTTGCATTCAAACAGGAGACTGCGGGAGGACCCCTGGTAAAGTCTGCAGCTTCCATGTCTCCTGCCCTGCTCATGAGGTGAGAATTAAGAGATTACACGAGGCGTGTCTTGAGAAATCACTAGGGTGGAAACGCCATGGGAGTTGATCCCCATCAGTGGAAGGTCTTGCTCCTCGGAGGGCGTACACGCATCCATGTGGGTCCTGTCCCCTTTGCTGTTCGCTTCGCTGCAGCTTCTCAGATAAAAAGTGAATGTGGGGGTGTAAAGCCTAATTTCAGGCAAAGGGAATCCTCTTGGATGCACAATCTTGCTTTCTTGCTTCCTAAGAGGCTCTAATTCTTCCTCGTGTATAGTCACCAGTGTTAGCGGGTTTCTATTTCAGGATAAAGGTGGGCCCTTGTTGTACTGGGGAGGAATGCCAAATACATGCTTGGTACATGCATATACAAAACCAGTCATTCTAGTCTCAGGTAACCATGGTCTGTGTGTAGTTAACCTCCATACACAAATTCAGATAAACCAGTGAGCTGGCTGTAAGTCTAAACTAGACAACACTGAACACTGGGCAAGACAACACTTTGTTGTGGCATAACTTCTGGTTTGCCTGTTCTGTCTTGTTCCATCCTGCACTACTTCTATAGCTGTCAGGGTGACAGACACATCATGAGCTGGTCACGACTGTGGGTTAGCTTTTCTTCTGGCAAAAAGCTGGAACACCTTGGTTCCAGGTGAGGTTTCTAAGTTGCTTGCAGAATGTTAAGTTGGCAACAAGATGAAACAAAACAAACAAACAAAAACAAAACAAAATGCTCTGCCATAGCTTCATGGCCTTGATTTTAGTAGCTTAGAAATCTCAGAATAACAATAAAAGAATTAAAACAAACAAAAATACTTTCATCAAAATCCCAGGGATGTCCTAAACTACTCAGCTTCTGGCAGCTCAGCACGGTTGACCAGATCCCTCCTACGTCTCAAGGGCAATATGAATGGAGATAATTCTGAGGGCCAGACTGGACTTCCAGTTCCTCTCCACCCTCCGTCTCTCTCTCTCTTTCTACTTGCATTCACTCCTTAAACACTTACAGTGGAGCACTTCCTTCACACAGCACTCCACAGCCTCTGCTGCCTGTGTGGATCACGCATCTGCAAGGGGCAGGTTTCTATGGCTACCTAACCACCTGGCAGATGTGCCACACCAACTGTCAGGAGAATGCCACAATCGTGGATCTATCATAAGCCTTGCAGGCTGTGCTGCCAAAACAGGGATCGGTGGGTAACCAGGGAATGGCTAGGATGTCCTTGGCAGGCTCCTGGCCTGACGACGGACTGGCAGAGGGACTCACTGAGCAGAGCTCTCATGGCAACCTCAGGCCACCCATCCAGAAACCCAGGGTGCAGGATCTAAAGGATACCCAGCCCTCTGCTTTGAAGAAGGTGGAGCGTCAGGCATGACGGCCATAACTACACTGCTGAACCTTCACATTTCAGGCTACCTTGGTGCAGGCTAGATACTGCTCCAGCACCCACTGATCTGTTCTCTTAGGTCTCATTTAAAGTGGGGGCAATTCTAGGCCTCCCACTCCCCCAGGGGCCTCTCCTGCCCAGGGATGACTGAACTGAGGCTGACATTTTG